TTAAATATCTTACTGTAAAGGTTGCAGACACCTGCTTTAAACCATGAACATCTCAGGTCAGAGGAAGACAATAGATGATGAACTAGCCTTGGGTTACATTCCTATTTTTTAAATGTTAAAACAGAACACAAGCCTCGCCTCTACCAGCCCATAATATTTGTGGCATGATCCATACAAACTGTTAGCCTGATTTCATGAGAACCAACACTGATAATAAACATATTTGTAAAGGTGTCCATCTGTTTCTGCAGATAAATAATATAACATATTACTACGTACGATGGAAGTACACACAGAGTGAATTAGAGYAAACAAAGTACCCAGGTTTTGACTCAAGCTTTCAGAATTTGGAGCTACTTATCTCCTCCCCTACAGTATCTGTTCCCTCTCTGTCTCCATCTAGACTTTGCCCCCTCTCAGGTCATTTGTAGCTCAGGAAACGGATCAATAATGAGTTCAGATTTACTGGCTAAGTGCTCACCTTGGATACTCAGTGCCATTCAATCCAGCCAGGGATTTATCTGGCTTCAGCAGAGTCAAGTTTCACATGTCCGAGGTGCTTAAAGGGCTTCTGAGACACAGTCAGGAGGAAAATTACTTCACAAWATCACCTTAAATGTAAAAATAAGTCAATAAGATGAAGACAAAAAAAACTTAAATGGATATATGGTTCTATTTCCTCAAGCTTTATGGTGTTCATTAACTGTAAAAAAGCCACATGGCAGAAGAAATGTTCTCATTTGTGTGGTCACTGTATACATGGGATTTAAACGGACCAATATTTATGCTAATAACTTTAGCTTAACAAAAAAGTGACTTACAAAACTAGCTTAACTTGTAAAGCAGGTATGGTGACAGCAGACTAAAAACTATGTAARCCCACGTATTTTTAGTCGATTTTAGCTCGAGTATTACTTTAATTAAAACTATAATGAAACACTGATGGGGATGATAAAACTGTTTCAAATTAATTAGTTTAAAAAGTCCAGTCTCGGACCGACGGACTTTCCATATATTTTTAAACAGACTTCCATAAAAACAGCGACACGTCAGAAACKTCTTACCGGGAGTAAGGGACGTCATTTCGGTCCGAATCCACCGTAGAAAATGAGTCCGGAGATTTAAAAGTACAAAACCACGTTTAGTAGCATTTATCAGTTCCACGTACCGACTTCACTCGCCTCGATGATAATCGTCTGATTGGAGTTCCTRAAATAAAAAAGTAGGAGTTTTTTAAGGCCAGAGTAATCGAACCTAGCTTCCGGATTGGTGGAATTTAAAAGGGGATCGGCAAAACAATCCATYTTTCAACTTTTCTGTTTATCAGGTCTGGAGCAGATGTGGCCGATGTGAGYTTGTATGTTGTAAACCATGTAAACAGCAAACTGTAAAAAAGTAAATAGTTATGAACATGGTTGAACATAGTTTTCAGTGCTTGTAAAATTGTTTTTGATACATTTAAAAGTTTCAAGGACTTTGCAGCTAATTTTACACCGGTTTGAATTAAAATTTAAACCTAAAACCTGAACAATCTTACAGAAGAAGTTCTGAAGACCCAACAATGCAGATTATAGCTCTTTTGCACAAATTACAAACTCCAAAAGCAGATATGTATCTCAATAAACGGAGTGAAAAAATATGTACATAAAATATGTAATTATGAAGACATTATGAAACAATGGAATAGTATTTAGAAATAATTATATTATCTGCAGTATATTTTATCATTTTTTCTTTACATAAGATTATTTTTCTTCTCTCCAGTCCCTTTTCTTTCAACTGTTCTTTCAACATTTTGTTGAGCTTTGTTAGATTCTAGTATCTGTGGATTAATGATCATCTACAAAAATAGATGATTCAAACAAATTATATCAGAAGATCCTCTGCAGTTTTGTTGATTCACAATCTGGAACTAAAACATCTTGGCTCTGGATCCACAAAGACTGGCTAAACTAGAACATTTCATAATCTATTTAAACAAGACATYCAAATTGTCTTAACAACCATCTATGCTTGGAGTACTTGTCTGTTTTAATAGCTGTGGCAAAAATTGCAACAATTTTAACATTAAAACTGTTAAAATATTAACTTCTGAGGGTTGTCTCAAGTTTCTAACTACATTACTAGAGAATAATTCATGTGAATTCATGAATACTTTGTCTGTAATAATCATAAATTTGTTAGATAATTTGCTCCATTTATAGGACCAGAAACATTTATTTATGATGTGGAACACTCTACATTAAGAATTCAGTTCAGCCAACCCTTTGTTAAAGAAAAAAACCCACAAC